CAATTTAGATGATGTAATTTGACTTGGTACAAAATTTTAAAAAAAAAAGATTTGATATATGTGATCCTAAAAGCTTAAGAGGTAAAAACTTTGTGAGGCCACGACATTTTTGTAGTTATAAATCTTCTTATTAAGGGTAAAGTGAATAAAGTGAAAAGTTTATAGTTAAACTATTTTCAAATATAAAATTACGTCATTCTTTTTAAAATAAATTAATAAAAAAAGTGTGTCATCTAAATTGAAAGAGAGAGAATAATTGAAATTGGTTTAGAGGATTTATATAACTGGTCCCAACTTGTTTAGGATTGAGACGTTAGTTGATTAATACTGCAAATATGAAATGGGCTTGAATAGAACGTAAATCATAATAAGACCTAGTAATTCGTGGTTTCTTCTTGCTTATTATTGAGTAAGACACTAAAATGCTTCTTTGTTTGTTTTTAATATTTTTCTTTTGTAAGGAGATGAAAATGAATTTGGTATCTTTTCATATATTTTATTTATATGGCTGACTATAGATGATATAGTGGATCATATTTCATCTATATATTGTATCTCTCTCTAATCTCGGTGGAACATAGATAAAGATGAAAATTTGATTATATATTTCAATTACCAGAAAATCTCGACATCTATATTCGTGAGATTACACCATAAAATTTCTTTCACTTTTTTGATTCATTTTGAAATAACACACGGAAGAGTATTTTGTCATCAGATAGCAAAATGGTTATTATTTTAGCATCCTCGCAAATTCCAGCATATTTAGAGGTGAAAGGATCAAATGTGTCCATGCACTACTTGAAATTAAGTAATTTTATCTCAGTTAAATTTTTGGTCTAATATTATCCCACAGTTAAAAAAAATATTTTATTTTTTCTTTGATAACTGAGCTCCAACTTGAGGATTATTTTATCATAATTCAAAGTTGAAGAATAAATTTAGATCTTTTTTTTCGAAGAGTTTGGACGCTATTTTCTTATAGTGAATAACCAAAAATATATATTATCATTAAATAACACTAAATAGATACCTTTCCAGAAAACAGAAGGAATAAGCTAAAAAGAAGGGAAATGCTTNGGTCAAGCGTGATGCTTGGTTGGTTCTTGCCGATGCCATGAAGAGCGGGGCTAGGGCCGGTAGGCCATAACCCTTTGGGGTGGAGCATAGATTTTGCCACCTTATATTTGATATTTGCAGAGCATGTTTGTAGATGGAGAGCGCGTCTTTTGCGCATATATAAAACAAGAGAAACTTGAAGCTTTATCTCCTTTGTATCTCTTTCTGCCCCCCCCCCCCCCATGAAGAAAAATAATTAAATTTTAGAGCGCAAACGAAATAAGTCAAAATTTATCTATAAATAATATAAGGTAATTAGTGGGCGTTTGGACATAAGAACTGTAAAATTTCGGAAAGAAGTGAAAAGATTGTATTTGAAAATTAGAGTTGTGTTTGGACATGAATACATTTTGGAGCTATTTTTTAATTTTTGTTTGAGTGCTTTGAAGTGAAAATTTTGAAAAACAGTTTTTTTGTAGTTTTTCAAATTCCAAAAAAAATCTGAAATTCAACTTCAACTGAAATTTGAAATTTTCATGGCTAAACACTAATTTTTTTTTTTAAAGAAAAGATTCTTTTTTATGGCCAAACGGGCCCTTAGTCTCTCCATCCAAACTGTAGAGCCTAATTTGTCATTTTTATGACTAAATCTGAGAGCAGAGACATGCATGAACTCCGTACAGAAACTGATTCTCTTTTGTGCCAAAGATCACTTATAAACCATCTTCACATTCTTTAAACTATATATTCCTTTCCAAAAAAGCACGTCATATGTCTGGTGCCTAACGTATATTAAAATATAAATTCATTTTCCTGCTAAAGTTCTTACGATATAATTAAAGAAATATCTCTATTTGTTTTGCATAAAGCTAGATTAGTATCCCCTCCCCTTCCATAAAAAGTTTGATGTTCATTCCTTAAAAAGCCTTTTTTTTAAAAGAACAACATGGGAAAGACATGTAAAAGCTACGCGTGAATGAGAACATTAATTGCACTCTTTGAGAACTTCTCAACAACAAAACGACAATAATATACCAGTGTAATTTCATAAGTGGGGTATGGAGAGGATAATATTTACGCAAATTTTATCCCTACGTAGTGAACAGTGGCGGAGCCAGAATTTTCACCAAGGGGTATCAAAATAAATTTTTTTAGATATTACCGAAAAGTCAAGGGGTCGATATATGGTAAATATACATAAAACAAATAAAAATTTATCTAGCAATAGAATGTAATTATCTAGCGAAGGAGTATCGAGACACCCCTTGGTTGAATGTGATTTCGCCACTTAGAAAACCTGTTTTGATAGACCCTCGACGCAATTTCTTAGGATCGTTTAATTCTAATTGCATTTATACAGCATATATATAACACCTTTGCATCATGTATATAATAAAGTATTTATATTGATAGTGTAAAAGAATTTATAAACTAATCATATCATCTAAGATAAGAAAAGGTAATCATCCATAAGTGATGATTAAATTCACAGAAAATATGCAAATTCTTTCCATGATCAGTATATATAAGTTAATTAAATACATAATGTAGTAATATATTATAGGCTTTACCTGTTCATTTCCTTCTCGAGCATACTTAGGATATATTCCAATTGATGAGGATATCAATCTTTTCAATTCCTTTGGTTAGTGTGAATGTCTCTTTAGAATAAAAGGTTGAACATGTGCAATCCTAGCTGCTTGTCACTATCACCTACAAAATCAGTAGATGCCCACCCAATATTTTCTCTTCAAAATACTAATTTAAGTCTTGATCATCTAAGGGTTACCTTCATAATTATAATAATCAGAGATTCCCTTTTTCATGCCTTTGCCATGATTTACCCAAGTGCTGCAATTATCTGCACCAGGGTTTCTTATTAGCAAAAAGGCAGTCGGGTGCACGAAATTCTCGTTGTGCGTGGGGTTTAGGGCACGAGGATTTATTGTATATATATAGTCTTACCATACATTCCTGCAAGAGACTGTTTCCACGGCTTGAACTCATGACTAGTGGCGGAGCTAGAATTTTTATCAATGAGTGTCAAAATATAAAAAAATAGCTATATCAAAAAGTTCAGGAGAGTCAACGTATAATAAATATACATAAAACATAAAAATTATCTAGCAATACAATATAATTTTCCGGTCCGCCATTACTCATGACCTCCTGATCACATGGCAACAACTTTCTTATTAACAAAGTTTTTTCTAAACATTATATATATGGGGAAGTCCATATTAATATGTGTATAGGACAACATACATTGGGTTAGAATAGCGTCATATAAGTGATTAACTTCCATATATTAATCATGTAAAAAATATCTATGCTATCACGTAATCTAAATGATAATAAATCGTTTATAAAAAAATAAAATTAATAACCTGAAAAATTAGACACATCAATTGCCTGGGACAGACTACATATATAGGTTCATACACACTGCAAGCAAAAAGGCCCTAATATGTGGAGGTGCTTAAGAAATTAACTCAATGAACCCTAAGATGGGCACATGACAATGCTACCAGCTCAATTAATTACAATGAGAAAATAATTTTTACGTAACTATTTTCGTAATTTCTTTTTCGTTCTGTAAACCTGCGTATACGTACAAATAATAAAATATAAAAGCATAAACGAATTTGGAGAAATGATTAGAATTCTGTTGAACTTTATACGTACAAGAAGGGGACAAGAGTAGTGAGTATTCATGACTGCCTACATTTTCTTGTTTGTGTTGAGCTCCAAATGAAGCTCAAGAAATGGAGCTTAACACGTTAGGCTACCACTAGACACACTAAATACGATTAAAATATACTCAAAGAGTTATCCTCTAATTATGGCCATTCAAATGGACCAAATAAGATTGAGGTTAACTAACATGAATATTGAATATATAAGGGTTGTCCGGTGCATGAAATATCCCATATTTACGTAAAGTTTGGGGAATGGTCGCATCTTAAGGGAGCGTGATATATGCAGTCTACCCTGATACAAGTATCAGTAGCTGATTTCATGGCTCGAACCCATAACCAGAAGCAGAGCTAGAGTCTCGACATCGGATTCAGCCGAACCCAGTAGCTTTAGTCCAAATCATATATTTGTCTTAAAAAATTCATTGAATATTACAAATTCTTACTTTAAAATCCTGGCTCCGCCTCTGCTCATAACCTATAGGTCACATATGCGGACCTATGTTATAGAATAAGGGGTCACCAGCACCATAGTGTTCAACAAAAAATTCATGTATATATGTACATGTCTTTACAAAATAGTGATATATTAGTAGTGACATCTTATATACAAAGTAAATTTTGGTTGAATACAAATATGCGTCCGCTACGTCTAAATCCTGAGTCCGCCTCCAAAACTCCCCTTCAACGTGAAGATTGAATGCGTAAACAAAATTTTACACTATCAAGTAACCTAGAAACTTAATATTTTTTACTAACGTATATGGACAAGTATTCTAAAGAACAAGATAAATGACCGGTAATAACAGGCAAAACATTTTGATAATATTAAAAAAATTTACACTGTCAATATAATTTTAATCTAACAACATTTAGCCGGCAAAGAAACGGATAATAGGGAGAAAAGCAGCTTTGGAGTTCATAAACAACCAATAAATCAGACATGATTAATTTCCCTATAACACAATGCGGCAGAGAGAAATTAAAATTCATGAAAAGACAAACTGCAGAATTATATGTAAACACGGCACCATATATATTAATTTTGCAGACCAAAGGCAAATAATACTTCATTGGAATCCCAAAAGAATACTAGAGCACTGATCTCTTTCTCTCACGATATATACAACAACAGGCCGCCTACCCGGAGGGGTAGAGAGTTAGTTTTCGGGAGATCCTCGGCTCAAAGATAAAAGATTCGTAGCAATAATAGAAATCAGACAAATAATATCAGTACCGTAGGAGACAACAAGTAAGTGAATCTCTCTCGATATTTTTGAACTTTGCCTTCTTTTCCCTTCTTATCACGGTGTATACTTCATCCGGTCTATAATAAGTGATTTTTTGGTATTTGGCAGAAAATATTAATTCCTACAGAAAAAAGATGTATTCACTAAATTACCCTTAATTTGAATTTGCATATTGTTACCTTTACACATTATATGTAAATAAGGGTAAATTTTAGAAAAATATTAATTCCTTCTTGATTATGTAAAAAGACACTTATTTTGGACCAAAATAAAAAGACCAAAAGATCATTTATTGTGGACAAGAGGAAATATTATTTTACATTTACACATGGAATGCACATAACAAATTTAAAAAAAATTAGCAAAAATAATTAAAACTTTAGAATGACTTTGGGTATTGAAAAAATTGCGTACCAGGCATGAAATTATTAAAAGGACTAGGGTAAGAAGGTAGTGGTTGTGTTAAATTTGTTGTAAGTTGCTCTTGCTGGAAGCCATTTGAGGAGCTTTCCCTAGCCATATTAGTGTAATGAGTCTCAGTCTCAGGGCCTTGATCATATAATATCCCTTTAAATACATGTCCTGCTATTTTCACTGATGTCTGATAAGCATATTGATCCACCACATTGTCTACTGAACTTACTCGAACACATCGAAATACTGCTGGTAAACTCAATTCTGTTGGTAGATCTTCTTCTTTCCCACCTACATTTGTAATATATATAGGGAAAATAAGTATACGGATTGGAAGTATTTTGTATAGGTAAGATTTGCGTATACATTACCCTCTCCAGAGCCCACTTGTGGGATTTTACTGGATTTGTTGCTGTTGTTGTTTGTTACTAATAATCTCATTATTTATGTGGACGGTTCCTGTATGTAGTCATCTTTTAAGTGATCTGAAAGCGCATAGAAGTTACAATCTTTTCGGGGTCTTTTGCTGAGTTGAGGGGTGCAATATGGTTCATCCATCTATGTTCAGCATATACCATTAGTTAAGTGAGAAAAAAAAACAATAGCAGTAAATATTAATAATAATAATTATGGTACTACTGAATGTCAAAGTGAGCTATACTATTACTATGACTAGGGTTTGATGGTGTCTGCAAATAGATAAGTAATAGACATAAAAAGGGTAAGCATATTGGCAAAAATGGTGGTGAGATCTCAGAAGGTGAACTTTGGTGTAATCGATAAAGTCGCTGTACCAGGAGGTCACGGGTTCGAGTCGTGAAAATAACCTCTTGCAGAAATACAGGTAAAACTGCGTACAATAGACCTTTGCGATCCGGTCCGTCCCCAGACCCCGCGCATAGCGGGAGCTTAGTGCACCAGTTGAGATCTCTTAGTACAGTGCAATCAAGATTGTGTTTGAGGACAACAGTAGATCAATTAAGATGAAGTACCTGCAGCAAGATTATTATCATTTTCTCTGTATCTTTTAGGGTTTGCTTGAAGCTGCTTCTGCTGCTGCTGTTGTTGTTGAATAGTATGAAGAAGGTGGTGCCTTGGACGTCTTCTAGAGACAGGGATCCAAGTGCTTTTGACATGGGTTTGACACTGAAACCCTCGGCTTTTACAGCAAGTTCTGCACCTCAAATATGGACAATCTTTCTTTGCTTGATTTCCACAGTCTTGACACCTACTGTTTGATGATATTCCATCTTCTCTCATCATCATCATCATCTTCAATTAGGCTCCCTTTTTTGCTCCCCTTATAAAAGTACTCATTTTAGAAGATTGATTTCACTGTTGGGGTTTTGCTGTTAGATGGATTAGTTTGTATCTGTTGCTGAATTGAGGCAAGTGTGTTTGCTTTCTTTGGATTTTTTCTTCCAAGAGAGAGTTCATGGCTCAAGAGTACTATATGTTGGGGATTGCTTTTCTTCTTTCAAGCTTTTCTCAAGTACTTTTTATTTTATCAATATATTTATTTTATGGACTGCACTTGGGAGTAATGGTAAAATTGTGTTCACCGAGTTCAAGCTTTGGAAACAGTTATTAATGTTTGTATTAGGATAGACATGGGTAAATACAGGATACCTTGTGCACTGAATTATCTTTTTTTAATAAATTTATTTTATATACACGAGCAATATAAAAAAAAGATAATACTGTAGTTTACCTATTAAAAGAGGTCCTTAACCATGTTTTGCAGATTATTAATCCATGCTTGCTATAAAAGTTACAGTAGTATGTAATTTGGTTTTAAGTGATTTGGTAAAGTAAAATTTCTCTACTCGTCAACGTATATTAATTAAACGATTCTTCATCGATGCAAATTTTCATTGGGCCAAAAAGAGGGAAAGTAAAAATAGCACGGGCTAGTCAGTTTTCGGACTGATCATTCAAAAATAGCCAGCGTTTGCAAAGTCAATGAAAAATAGTCACTATTTTGCTGTAATAGGGACCGATCCAACATAATATACTGGAGATTGGTGCACATGTGTATGAACTTCCAGCATATTATGCTTGAACTCCAACACGCGGAAAGTTCCAACATAACATACTGGATATTGGAGCACCTGTGTGTGAACTTCCACCATATTATGCGACACCGATATATTATACTGGAACTTCAGTATATTATGCTGGAGTTCCATTATACTTATGCTGGAACTCCATTATAATATGCTGGAGTTCCAGTATACTTATGCTGGAACTCCAGTATATTATGCGGGAGTATTTTCCGGATTTTGAACAATATTTTCGTTCAGATTATCTTTACATGAAAAGTGGCTAAATTTCGATTACTTTTGAAACTGTGGCTATTTTTGAATGATCACTTGTAAATCTGGCTATTTTTGAATTTCTCCCGGGAAAATGCCTTGACTTTTTTCACTTCTAGCCCGTGCGAAAAACTATTTACATTCGATAGTTGAAAAAGTGTATAAAATTTGTACTATATAACATACAAAATATATATTTTTCTGCTATTATTTTGAGAACGGCTATATAGTTTTATTTTCCCAAAATGTCTCCTTTGATATGTGAAGGTACATGTAATACAGGGTGGATATGCCTGCACTCTTTAGAGCTCATTCAGCCATTTACACAACACAATGTGAACAGTCTATACGTACTTAATTGAAAAGCTAAGTCAAGTCAGACAGCAATGGTTACATTATTGTAAAAGCAAGGCAAATGGGAGATTTAGTAATTACTAGTTCAAGATATAATTTTGACTGTTGACGCAGTAAAAAAACAAAACAATAAGAAGACAAAGACAAGGGACAAAGGCATATTAGTTACAAACAGCACTGCCAAAAGTGTAACAGCTGATCATTGTATTATGACTTCTGTGCTGTGGAAAATTGATTACAGTAGTGGTTAGCAGCTTTGTCTAGCCAGGAGGATATATATATATATTATTATTTTTTTAAAAAGAAAGAGAACAAAGAAAAAAAAAGACTGTGTCCTTCCATCCAGAAAACCCTGGCAGTTTCCTTGGCCCTTCCATCAGCCATCCAACTAGTAAAGAGAAAGGTTAGCCTTCTTTTTAGGTTTTTAGTTTCTTTTCTTTTTTTGTCCATTTAAAATGGAAGGGTTTTTCAGAAAACGTGTGCTAGCTCTTTCTTTTTCTTTTTTCCCTTAAATTAGCGCAGCATAATTTATCAGTATTTAACCTATATAACTGACATAGTGATATTAATAATACACATTTATACTAACAAAAAGGGCAGCTAGATGCATAAAGCATTCCACATTTACTATGGGTCTGGGGATGACTTGTAAAACAAGAGTCAAAATAGGAAAAAAACATCCGCATGATCCTATAGACTTCTTTTAAGGATTCCAATTTGAAAAAAGAATTGATAGTTTCTATTTCTGTTGTATCAATTATGATTTCAACGATCAATTTCTCCAATAATGATATCTATGCTACCTAGTATTGTCATAATATTAGCCAATTTCATTCTTTTAACTAACTGAAGAAGAGTGTGCAAATTGATAAAATCTGGTGTGCGAATTTTCCATCTTCAAGGAAAAACGCTCTGATCTCCTATGAGAAAAATTCCAATTCTCCTTTTGGGGCTTCAACTCTCACATGAAGTTCTTGTTTTGACAATTCAAAAGTTGGAGAAGTAACAGTCTATCATAATACAACCATTAGTAGCTGCTTCTACGGCTCGAATCCGGCACAAAAATAACTTTATTATTGATCCAAGCCTCCCCTTAATTAAACACATTTACGCTACTAGCACAGTTTAATTCAACTTAGCATAGCAAGTCAATTACTATATAAAGTTAGGCTTATTGTACGAAGTTACATGCTGTTTAAGTTATCTTTACTTAGATAGCATAAAAGATTACTCCCTCCCTTTCACTTTGTTTCTGGTACTTTGGCTTGACATAGTGTTCAATAAGGAAAAGATTTTTTTTGACATTAGTGATTTTAAATATTCCGTAACATTTGTTTGGTTATAAAACTTTTGAAATTTATAGTTTAAATCTATCATAATATTTGTGTGGTTATAAAAGACTCTCACAGTAAAATATAATAATGTGTCATTCTTTTTTAAACGAACTAATAAAGAAATAATATCAAATAAAGCGGAACGAAAGGAGTAATTAAAGTCGATTATATTCAAAACTTCATTTATTAATTGACTTATTTAGATTGGACCACCTCTCTCTAGCGTTTTCTCTCGGCGCACGTTAACGTGGCCTAGCTAACGTGTGCTTTGGAGGCAATGAGAGGGAGAGGCAGACCTAAGAAGAACCTTATGAAGGTTCCGATTACAGATCAACGATCAACGGAAGCAAGAAATGTTGTCTTAGAATTGTTTGTTTCACCAAAAGAGGTGAGAATTGAAGAACCAAATGAAGTAGTCACTCCAAGAAGCATGCAAAGTGAACAGAGCAAGGAGGAAGCAGATCTAGCTCGCAGAAATGGCAAAATGAAAGCTGTAGATGTTACACCTGTAGCTGCGCAAGCTATAGGAGGTGGATCTGGAAGCGGGACAACTCAAATACAAACGAAGACCCCGAGCAACAATGGAACAATACCATGCAGCTCGAGGTGCTGTTGAGAACAGTTAAATTGCTGAATTAGGGAAAGATAGCAAGACTCAGACATGGGCAAATGTGGAAGGGGCCGGGTAACAAATTAGCAATGAAAGGTATGAACCTACAATTTATTGCACCGGTAATTCAGAATGGTGAGAAGATTGTGCAATTAGACCTCGAGGATGTAGAACAAGAAAATGATAAGTGGAGTTCTGCGATTGTGCTTTATGTGATAGGAGATTCACCTACTATTGGAGCAATGGAAAGATTCTTGACATCAGTGGGTAAATTTTCAGTGAAGCCGCAGATCTACTATCATAATGATGATTACTTTGTAATAAGGTTTAGTGATTGGGAGGAAAAAGATCAAGTACTATATTCTGGCCCTCATACGGTGAACAATCGTCCTAAAATTATGAAAGCATGGTCAGCAGATTTCAATTTGCATGATGAAGTACTGAAAACTATTCCTCTGAGGGTCAAATTTCCTAATTTGCCCCTCAATTATTGGAGCATGAAGGCCCTAAGCAAGATATGTAGTAATTTGGGAAACCCTATCTATGCTGATGAGTGCACTACTGGATCAATTAGAATCTCTTATGCAAGAATGCTAATTGAAATGGATGTCACTAAACCATTGCCTAGAGTTGTGAAGGTGCAAGATCTAAAAGGCAAAACAATACTGCAGGAAATTACATATGATTGGGAGCCAGCATTCTGTGCTAAATGCTTGAAAATAGGCCATGATTGTAATGAAGTCAAAGTGCCACAACCACAAAGAATGATATATTAGAGGAAGGTGAATAAAGGAAAACAATTTTGGCTCAGAACTGATAGAGATGGCTTAAATGTCCAGAAACATGAGGCTGAACAAAGTAAGAAGAGTAAAGTAATCCAAACATCAGAACAAGGGGCAAAGACAAAGGACAATGAGAAACAAGAAAAGGAAGATGGGTGGATAATAGTGATTGGTAAGTCAGCAGCAAGGACAGCCAAAGCTAAACAAAATGAGGAGCAGAATCTGGTTGGAAACAATGGATTCCAATCTCTGAGAAATGATCAAGCAAATAGTGATCCAGGCACAAGTTGTATGAAGATGAGGAGTGTATGGGTGTAGGAGTTGTATAAAGGTACTCATTTTATACCAGTATGAGTGTGATCACATGAAATGTTAGGGAGTTGAATAAAACTTATAAGCAAAAGGAGATAAAGGAGTTCATAAAAGAAAATAAAAAAAACAGTAATAGCTCTAGTTGAGCACAGAATAAAGGAACAGAAAACTAAAGATGTAATGAAGAAGATTGTGCCTGGATGGCAATGGATAACTAACTTTAGCACAATGAACAAAAGTAGAATTTGGGTGATTTGGGATCCTAGAATCTATGTGTTTGACCCAACTGAAATTGATGAGCAGCTAATACATGGTCAACCCAGAGCAGTCTCAAAATTGTTACAATTGAATTTATAGCAATCTATGGGTTACATACCATCAAAGACAGGCAGAGTTTGTGGAGAAAATTGAGACAGATTCATAGTACACAACAAGGGCCTTGGTTAGCAATGGGAGATTACAACGCTGTGTTAAATGACCAAGACAGGCAACATGACTCTGTGATACAAGATATGGAGACAAAAGATTTCAAGGAATTCATGAATGATACTGGGATCAATGAGTTAGAAACAGTGGGAAAGGAATATTGATCGAGGCCAACCCTACACTACTACAAAGTAGCGAGAGTGGTCGAAGCAGCTTTTACCCGAGAAGGTCGGGATCGATTTTCACAGGGAGCTTGAAATGGGAATTAAGTTTTTATCTAAATTGGAGATGCGTAATTGCTCTTAATTGCACTTCTAATCATAGTTGGTTTTGATATTACTTCTAAATTTATACTAATAAGATGCTAAATTAAGCTAAGTTAAACTAAGAGTAAGATACTTGAAGGGTTGTCTAAATAGTTAAAAAAGCACTAGGGAAG